TAAACGTGGCACCATCCAATAATACTTTGGGGTCCTTGGGGATGTTTCAAAGTGGCCCTCTGGGATATCCAAGGGCAGGAAATTTCGGGGGGGACGAACCCATTTATTTAGGTATGACTTCTATTAAATTTGGAGAGGAGCCCAACTCCCAATAACTCTGGGTGGCTTATTGTATGGGGAATGGGGATTTTGCGGTATCCTTCCCCCAGGAGTGGGGAGGGAATGGGGATTGGCTAAATCCACATCAGATGGTTGGGAGGGGATTCTAACTTCTTTTATTCCTATTGTATTGCCTTAAGGACCCCAGATCCTGCTTTGCTTTCGCCCACCTATCACTTCTTTCTCAATAAAAGGATCCTTTTCAAATGCAAAATTTCACGAGTCTTTACTTCCTTGATTAAGGGGGAGAGGCCTGGCTTTACAGGTAGCCCAAGGGTGGGTGGGTGTGAAGAGAACTTGCAAATGTGCTGGCAGATAAGCAGGTGTGTTGCTTTGCCAGCCGGCTGCAAGAATAAGAAAAATGAGGGAGGCGGAGGGCCATATCGCAGGGCACACTGGCCCAAGCAGCAGCTGCAACAGGAGCCTCTCCAAAGAGGGTGTGTGGGAGGAAAATATATACACACAGTCTCAACTTCTGCATCAGGTTTCCAAGGGCTCAAAAAAGATTGCAAAATCCAAATATGAAGGGGGCAGTATCGGAGGGGATTTCCCCCTCTGCTGTAGTTTTCCAAAGGTCCTTCAGAAAGGAGGAGCAAAGAGAAAGGAGAAGCTGGATCCAGGGAGGGAGGGGCTGGTAAGGCAGCTAGAGGTGGGGAGGGGCCGGCTGACTCAACCCTGCTTACTGTCTCTGGGACGTATTTTGCAGTTATCGCTCATGAGTTTGATATATTGCCCCCAAACTGTACAGGTAGTACTAGATCTTTACAGGTAGTACTTGGCAAGAAATGGCAGTGTTGATTTTTATTTTACCCTGACATTAGACTCAAGTTCCTTCAAATGTTGCAAAGTCAGAAGATATAAATGATATAAAAGATATATACGTGGGCCCCGTCCCCCAAACTGGCCATCACCCCCCACCCCCCCAGTGGTGGGGCCAGCACCTCAGGCTCCCAGAACTGAATACCTTATTTCCATTGAGAGGAATGCATGACATTTATACAAGCGCACACTTTAATAAAAGCAGACAATAACATAGAAGCCAATAAAGACTCTACCAGCTGCTCCCAATGCAGCATCTTCCCGCTTGTCTGGAACTGTAGAAGGTCTCCTGAATGTCTCTGGAGATTCTCCGTCATCCAGGTCATGGTTGTCCCAAAGGTGCTTTTTCAAGAAGCAGCTGGACTTTCTGGTTTTCCTTTGAAGGTATTTCGCTTCTCATCCAAGAAGCTTCTTCATTTCTGACTGGAGATACTTGTACAATGAGCACAGGAGCCCCCAGGGCTGTGTGCTCTCGCCACTTCTCTCTCTACACCAAGGGCTGCATCTCAAAAGATCCCTCTGTTAAAGTACTGAAGTTTGCAGATGACACAACAGTGACTGGTCTCATTCGAGACGACAATGGATCTGCATACAGTCTGGAGGTTGAACAACTAGCCTTGTGGTGCAACCACAATCTTGAACTAAATGCACTCAAAACCGTAAAAATGGTGGTAGATTTTAGGAGAAATCCTCCTATACTTCCACCCCTTACAATACTAGACAGTAGAGACTTCAGCCACGGCACACTTGCTCCAATTAGGCACTGAGTGGGATGACTATTTACAGGCAACTTATGAAGAGTATTAAGAGATTTCCTTTAATGAAAAGAAGGAATCCAGGACACAGAATCGGGTTTCATTTTATACTCCATGAAGTAGAAAAAGTACAAAATAAGAGTTGATTGCATTGAAGAAATCGGGGTCGATAAAAATAGATTTAAAAAGATAAAAATAAAAAATCGGATTTAAAAAAATTTAAATCAGATTTTTTTGGTCATTTTTTATCAAATTTATTTTAATAAAATGCTTTTGGGGTAAAAATCTAGCTAAAGATAATTTTCTATTCAAGATACATTAATAATGTAGTTTATTCATCTTGAAATGGAGCTTGCTTGTGTAGCATGAAGCTGTATATTCTGCAATATTTAAATTTCTGGTAAACTCATTCAATGAATCCAAGCTCTGCAAGCGGAGATAACACGGACTGCACTGATACATTCACACAATTCCACAGTAACCGTGGGATAAATCATAAAGCGCAGGAATATTCCTTTATCCCATTCTTTTGCAAATCTATGTAGACTACAAACTCTATGATTGTGGGAAGAGAAATGCACCTGTACCACCAGGCTCCCAGTGTGAGGAGAAAGGGCAAGCAATAAAAATGGAAGTGAAGCCTTCTAAGCAGCTTATAAATGTATTAAAGAGCACCTGTCATTTCAGATCCATCGGGGCAGCACCTGCTAGCGGGCATCCACTCACCTCCTGCCAGCCACGACCCTCACCGAGCTGTGTCCCTGCCGCATCACCAGCCATCCCTTGAAAGTGAACGGGACTGTGGGTGAGTCAACAGCGGGTCTGAGGAGGAGACACTGCGGGACAGAGATGAGGGTTGCTCTTTAAAAAGTATGATATAAAAGGTTGATTTAAATCAAGCCTTCTTAATAGTGATTTGTATCATGATTTAAATCGACATGATTTAAATCAATTCCAACCTGGAAGAAATCATCCAGCTCAGTTAGTTACATCAGAGACATGGACAGGAACATCCCATAATATTAAGGATAACCACTGAAATGAGCCTTGCATTAAAAGAACATTCACATGGGAAATGGCACCAGGACTCTCTCTTGTGAAAAGGTACAATTTCAGCCAGTTGTACAATCTAGCATGTACAATTGAAACAGTCCTTTATTATTCAGCCTGAGAAAGTCCCTTATTTGGCAGTTATTATTTACCCTTATTGTCTTCTTTACCCAATTGAAGTAAAGATAAATAATTCCTCTTATTGGAATTATAATTATTATCATGAATATCATTATTCTGTTGCTTTCTAGATACACTGAGGGCTGATGCACTTGAGACAAACATTTATTAATGTTTTTAAAGAGGGTACAGAAAGAAATGATACGTATATTCAGTGCAGTGGTGGGTTTCAAATTTTTTTACTACCGGTTCTGTGGGTGTGGCTTGGTGGGCATGGCATGGCACAGTGGGGTGTGGCTTGATAGGCATGGCAGGGGAAGGATACTACAAAATCCCCATTTATTCCCTTATCAGTTTGGACTCGGGAGGCAGAGAATAGATGGGGGCGGGGCCAGTCAGAGGTGGTATTTACCGGTTCTCCAAACTACTCAAAAATTCCGCTACGGGTTCTCCAGAACTGGTCAGAACCTGCTGCAACCCACCTCTGATTCAGTGTCAGTAAACAAATGATCAAATGTTAAATACACTGATTGCTTATGAAGTTTGAACAACAGAAAACCTTGATTCTAGATAACATCCCACAAGAGACAAATTCATGGGTTGCATTAGTCCAGAGGAGCCAAAGTATCCAGTGCAGGATACTAATCTACATATAAGCGAAAACCACTCACGCATTAATCACGAAATCTCCAGAACCGTAAAACCTACAAGCTTGAAATTTGCCACCTATGTTCCTCTTGGATTCTAGGTGCTCACTAAGAAAGGATTTTTCGAAACGACCATCAGAGCATTAGTATTTCCTATATTATTATAATATGCTCTGATGCTAATTAGTTAGACGTTCAACTCCCCCTCCCAACTTGAAAATAACTCTGGAGGGAATGGGATAGCATAGGACAGGCTTCTGTGGGGAAAGCCTCATGGAGAGAAGCGGCTAGAAAGCCTGAGGGAGAGAAGGGGATAGGAAGGAGGGGATCTATGGGGCCAGCCTGAGGGAGAAAAGGGATAGGAGCAGATCTATGGGGAAGCCTGAGGGAGAAAAGGGGATAGGAAGGAGGGGATCTATGGGGAAGCCTGAGGGAGAGAAGGGGAGAGGAGATGACAGGAGAGGCTTCTGGGGGGCCAGCCTGAGGGAGAAAAGGGATAGGAGCAGATCTATGGGAAGGCCTGAGGGAGAGAAGGGGATAGGAAGGAGGGGATCTATGGGGCCAGCCTGAGGGAGAAAAGGGGATAGGAGGAGATCTATGGGGAGGCCTGAGGGAGTAAAGGGGATAGGAAGGAGGGGATCTATGGGGAAGCCTGAGGGAGAGAAGGGGAGAGGAGATGACAGGAGAGGCTTCTGGGGGGCCAGCCTGAGGGAGAGAAGGGGAAAGCCTAGTAATGGGGGACTCTCGCTATCCTGACAACTGGGGAACACCTAGTCTCTGCAGCTAGTGGGAGATCAAAGAGGTCCCCAATGGGTCTGATTCATTTGAAAAATTCTTATAGCTGCCCATCTTTCAGTCAACTCAGTGCAGCTCCCAAAAACCGTTTTAAAAACAAAGAAAAACCTGGGGCCAATCCATGCCACCTTCTCCTTGTCTCATCTCCCAGCACCTGGGGAAGAGCCAGGTGTTTAAGGCTAAAAGAGTGGAGGCTTTTTAAGAATATGGCTCATATCTCACATAGCTTCCTTGGCGTTAGAGAGTCCCTTGTAGGGGTTTCTGCTGGAAGACAAGGGGACCATTCAGGGAATCCAACTGAGAGCTTCAGATGCTTGGGGATGGTCTTAATAGGTCCCCACATTTGGGAAATCCACATAGATTATATCAAACAATGGCAGGGAGAAGCTCCTTCCCACCCGCAACAATGAAGGCCAAATGAGCCCTAGATTCAGCCACAGCACACTTGCTCCAATTAGGATCTGAGTGGGATGAGCATTCAAAGGCAATTTATTAAGAGTATTGTAGCAAAGAGATTTCCCTCAATGAAAAGAAGGAATCCAGGACACAGAATCAGGTTTAATTTTATACTCCAAACAGTAGAAAAAGTACAAAACAACAGTTGATTGCTTAGAAGAAATCAGTGGATAGAAATCAATTTAATTTAAAAAAAAAATAGATTTTTTTTTATTGAAATCGGGTTTTTTATTTTTAGCAAATTCATTTCAATAAAATGCTTTTGATGTAAAAATCTATCTAAAGATCGTTCTATATTTAAGATGTATTAACAATTTAGTTTATTCAGCATGAAATGGAGCTTAGTTATGAAGCATGAAGGGGTATTTTCTGCAATATTTAAATTTCTGGGAAACTCATTCAATGAATCCAAGCTCTGCAAGCTGAGATAACATGCACTGCACTGATACATTCACACAATTTCACAGTAACCATGGGCCTTTTTGCTAGTGATTTACATAATAAATTAAATCGTGATTTAAAACAACGTGATTTAAATCAAATCCACCCTGGAAGAAATCACCTTGCTCAGTTACAGTTACATCAGAGACATGGAAATTAACATCCCATATTACAATAATGAGCCTTGCATTAAAAGAACGTCCAGATGGGAAATGGCATCATGAATCAGGAAAGTCTGTTGTGAAAAAGTACAATTTCAGCCAGTTGAAACATCTCATATGTACAATTGAAAAAGCCCTTTATTATTCAGCCTGGGAAAGTCCCTTATTTGGCAGTTATTATTTACCCTTCTTAATATCTTCTTTACTCCGCCCTCATATTGGAATTATTATAATTATCATGAATATCATTATTCTGTTGCTTTGTATGTACACTGAGAGCTTAAGACAAATTCCTAGTGTGCCTATTCACACTTGGCCAGATTTAATGCGCAATTCAATTCAATTCCTGAGATACACTCTGGGACTGAAGGCTTTTCACACTCATGTTTATAATTTTTCTCCCGCGTGAATCGATGGAGGCCCCTACACTGAGTATAGCTCTTTCCACACTCCAGGCATTAATGTGGTTTTTCTCCGGAATGGATTTTTTGATGGAGTGAAAGTTTTCCTCTCTGACTGAAGCTTTTTCCACACTCCAGACATTTATATGGTTTCTCCCATGAGTGGATTTTTTGATGTCTTTTAAGGTGTCCTCTCCGACTGAAACACTTTCCACATTCGAGGCATTTATGTGGTTTTTCTCCTGTGTGGACACTTTGGTGTCGACGGAGGCTACTACGCTCAATAAAGCTCTTTCCACACTCCAGGCATTTGTAGGGTTTTTCTCCTGAGTGGATTCTTTGATGTCCGTCAAGGGTTCCTTTCTGACTGAAGCTCTTTCCACACTGCAGACATTTATGCGGTTTTTCTCCTGTGTGAATCATTTTATGTCCATACAGTGTTCCTCTCCTACTGAAACACTTTCCACATTCCAGGCATTTATGTGGTTTTTCTCCTGTGTGGACTCTTTGATGTCGACGGAGGTGTCCACCCTCAGTAAAGCTCTTTCCACACTCCAGGCATTTGTAGGGTTTTTCTCCTGTGTGGATTCTTTGATGGCTATCAAGACTTCCCCTTTGACTGAAGCTCTTTCCACACTCCAGGCATATATTTGGCTTGTGGATTCTTAGATGTTTTTCAAGAATTTGAATTGTTTTGAAGGATTTTTCACATTCCCCACATTCAAACTCTTCTTGTAAATGGACTCTTTGATGTCTATAAAGATGTCCCCTCTGACTGAAGCTCTTTCCACACTCCAGGCATTTGTGAGGTTTTTCTACCGAGTGGATTATTAGATGCCTTTGAAGATGGTCGTTTCTTTTGAAGGATTTTTTACATTTTGGGCATTCATACTTTTTTTCTTCTGAATGGATTCTTTCATGTATATCGAAGTTACTCCAATGATGGAAGCTCTTTCCACACTCCAGGCATTTAAATGGTTTCTCTAATGAATGGATTCTTACATGTTTTTCAAGGATTTGAATTGTTTTGAAGGATTTTTCACATTGCCAGCATTGGTACTGGTTTTCTAAATGGAGTCTTTGATGTGAATGGAGATTTTCCCTTTGACGGAAGCTCTTTCCACACTCCAGGCATTTATGAGGTTTTTTTCCTGAGTGGATGCTAAGATGCCTTTGGAGATGATGATTTCTTTTGAAGGATTTTCCACATTCTGGGCATGGATATTCCTTTGCTTCCTCCCGGATCCTTCGGGGCTTTGGGGGTCTTCCGAAGGAGCCTCCGCCCTCCAGGCCCATCTCGGGGTCTCCGCCCATTTCCTCCTCCCCGCATCGCCCTCCAGGCAGCCACCTTTCCCGGGCTCTGCTGGGCTCCTCCCTCCTGCAGCCCCGGAGCCCCCCGGCCTTTCCCCGCTGTCTCCCGGGGAAGCCGTGCCGGAACCGGTCAGGGCTGCTCCGCGGGGCCCGCTCTCCTCCCCCTCCTCCTCCTGGGCAGCGCCTCTTTCCTGCATCTGCTGCCATCCTCCGTCCTCCTGCAGGGGAGAAAGAGAAGAGGGTCACGGCTGCCTCCCCTTCCCCGCAGGGGACGCCCAGGCCCAAGCCCCCGCCTCCCACGGGCCTCCCGGGCATTCTCCAGGCGGACACGGCCCCCTCCCAGCCTCCCGTCTCCCTCCCCGCCCGCCCCCAGACTAGGCCTCGGGCTCCCAGCCCTCCGGAGAGACCCTCCCGGACTTCAACTCCCAGCATCCCCTGCGCCCAACCTGCATCAAACCGCCTCCTCTGTCGCCGATTCTGGCAGCTCAGTCGTTGCCCGGTTTAGTTCCGGAAGTGGAGGCTTCATGCCCTTTTCTCCACTAGTTCCACCTCTTCCTTTGGAGGATCCACCCCATGGAGTCCTCCTGCCAATCGCCGCCCTCCCCAGAGCGACCAATGGACGTCCGTGTTCATTCAATAACCCAGATGGTGACTGCGCAGTGCCGAGGACATGGAAGGGGGGCGGGGCTCCGCTTTAACTTTGGGGTCCGATCTCCCCCTCCCAGCCGCTCTGTATTGAGGCAGGCGGAGATCAGAGGCTCTTCTGGGGCTGCGACCTTATAGCAGTCTATGAAGTGGATCCAGTGATTAAGGAACTGGGTTGAAAGCAAGAGAGCAGAGTTCAAGTTTGAATAAGCCCCCCTTTCTGTCTAGCCCACCTCACAGGGTTGTTGTTGGGAGAAAAGAGGAGGAAGGTGTCATCATTGGGAGAAGACCTTGTCTTCTTGCAGGCTTTCTCCTTTGTTTTGTTGCATATGTTCTGTCATGATAAATGCCTAACTACTATGTCTCCCTGATCACCCGGACCTTCAAGGGTTAACTAACCACATATCCCATAATCCTTATAACCACTCCTTACCTCTTAACCCCTCCTCCTGGGTACAAAAGGTCCAACCGCATGGTCCACAATTCATTCCAGATGTATACCTGAAAGAGAAAGGTACAAGGTCAGTGACCTCCAGTACCAATAGATCAACAATAAAGCTACAGAAAAGAATTGGAGTCTGTCTCTGAGTTATTGGGCTAGATCCAGCTTATGACAAAATGGTAGCAGAGGTCGGTTGCCCATAACTCCAGACAATGACTGAACCCAACACCTACCCTGAAGAAGCAAACAGAGCACAGACCAGAGCTCTTACCAAGAAGATGGCTGAGAAGCTTGCAACCAAAGCCACAGCCATGGAGGAGACAGAAGCTGGAAGCGAGCAGGACTCCAGCCTGGACTCACAATCAGATGAAGAGGGGCCATCCAAGGAGATCACCGCCCCGGAAGAAGAAACAGCACAGATAATGAATAAATTCAAACTCTCCATCCTGAAACTGATGGAGGCAAGCAGCGACAAAGAAAACCTCATCGCGGACCTTCAAAGCCTCTTCGAGCAACAAGAAGCAGCGATTGAGGCCCCAAAGACCACCGAGAAAGAAAAACCAGCAAAAAAGGGTAAGCCACCCCAACCTGATGATCCTGAGCCGGCAGAACCCATTTCCGTGCCCCCCTCCCGCGGCCATCTTGGGACGAGCACCAGCCAATGGGAAGCCAGGATTTGAATCCCTTGGCGCGAAAATGCCCGAACCCCGAAACAGACGAGGGGGACTCAGAAAGCGACTACGAAGAGCCCAGCTCTGAAAGCGACCACGAAGAGACCACAATAATAAAAAGAAAAACGCCTACCGATCTCGAATTGCAAAAGGCAATCGAGACCATCACCGCTGCCCTAGGCTCCGCTTTCGAGCCTCCCGCGGCACTCAATAAACCAAAGAAAAATCCTGGAAAGCACAAGAAGGCCAGGACAACCAACAAAAACCAGGCAACCGAGTCACAATCAACTAAAAACACCGCACACACCAACAACCGGCACAGAAGACCGCCCACCTGCAGGAAGAATCAACCGCAGGACTCGAACTCGCCACCCACTACACCAACAGCGCAAGGCCCGAGGGAGAAGAGGAGAACCGGCTACTCACCCACGCCACGACATCCATCAGGCCAGTCCACGCGACCAGGGACCAGCGACCACGAGGGAGGATCCGCCACCGCCGCTGCCATTACCGCCGAGCCGCTGAGTGCAGGGAATCCTCAACCTACGACCTCCGCTGCTGCCGCGCCGCCGACCCGCGAAAGTCCTCGACTTGCGACCGCGTCGCCTCCTCACCTTCTGCCCTTCTTCGCCGGGGATCCGGCCATCCAGCAGTGGTGTCCAGCCTCAGGGGGAATCTTCGGACCCACCGGGGGTGGGTCCAGCCTCCCACCGACAGGCCTAGGCCTAGGCCTGGGAGCTCCAGCAACAGGAACCTCACCCGATGGACTCCAACGCGGAATGAGCTTCGCGCATGCCCAGTACCTGCCTGTAACAAGAGAAGCAAGTTACATAGATCCAAGCAAGTACAGAATGGCCACAGACATCCCAAAGCCTTATTGTGAGTTTAATCACATTTTGGACCATGGACAGCTCCCCCCAGTAAGTAACCTTACTAATATTTCTGGGGCAAATTATACCAATTTGCCAAAATTGCAGTTAGATGGGGGTAATATTATAGAATGGAGCCAGCAATTAAGAGTTGCTCTCATGAGAGAGAATGCACTGTTCCTAGCTAACAGACCTCCCCAAAAGCCCTGGTCACTGGAAATTGACTGCATTCATCACAGGGCATTTTGTATCATGTTAACCTCCATTCCATCTGCTATGTATCCATCTATTGAGGACAATCTAACTGTTTATGATATTATGCAAAAACTATGTAACCTATTTTATAGCCAAAGCAGAGCCACTACCACTAGACTATCTAGGGAGTTCCACTCCACCAAGCATAAGGCAGGGGTCCCCATGAGTGAGCACATCTTAAAGATGAATGCTGCAAGGGCAGAACTCATGCAGAGGGGGGAAATCATCACTGAAGAGAGCATGATAAGCATAATCATAAACTCTCTTGATAGCAGCTGGGACATCTTCATGACCCAACTAAATAGCCTCAACTTGCAATACCTCACACTAGGCGCACTGACCAGTCAGCTCGTTGCAGAGGACACTCTGAGGAGGGAACGCCAACTAGCCAAAGGGGACCCTAGACCCACAAAAAGGGTGGATTTCCAGGATAGGCCCAGGGATACCTCAGAATGTTATTCTTGTGGATCAAGGAACCACTTAAAGAAGGATTGCCCCAGGAACCATAGGGATAGGGGACAGCACGACAGTAGAGGGGGAAGGTCACCTGAACGCAGGCACCCAAAGGAAAGAGGGCGAGGGTGGTCACCCAACCCCAGGAAACACCACGAGCGCAGAGACCACTCCAGGGACAGTAACTCTGGCTCCATGTATGGGATCAGGCACGATGACCCAAATGACAAACATAAGGCAGAGAGAAACACATGGCTCCTGGATTCAGGGGCCACAAGTCACACTACTTGTAACCCAGAGCTGCTAGACTCACTCACAGAAATAGACTCAGAAATAAAGGTGGCAAACCAAAGCAAGGTCAAAGTAGTGGGGAAAGGAAACGTACACATCACACAGGTAGGGGACCTAAAAGGAGTACTGTACGTACCAGAAATTCCCCACAACGTGCTAGCCATCACAAAGCTGACACGAGACACAAATATAGAAATAAAATTTAAAGATGGAAAGGCACACTTGATCAAGCAAGGGAAAGAGATAGGAAAGGTAACCATACACGAGGGGCTTCCCTACTTCACACCCAACGCAAGGGAGGAAGAAGGCATTGATGCCAGCACAAACCACGAGGTAGATAAGTATCCAGAAACAGAGGGGGTGCAGCAGGAGGCAGGATGTAGCCATGAGAAGACAAACAAGTCTGTATCTATCGGCAAGCCATTGCATGATAACTGCGCCCACCTCCTCCACAGGAGACTGGGACACATAAGCTTCCCCATTGTAAAGAAAATGACGGAATGTACTGAAGATCTCAAAGTAAAGAACTGCGAAAACTACTTAGAGTGTTCAGTTTGTAAGCGTTCCAAGATCAAGGTTAAGGCCATTCCCAGGGGATCCAAACGAACCACGGAATACCCCTTCCAATTGGTGCATATGGACTTGGTAGGGCCAATGAAACCCTCTGTAGGACATAGGAAGCGATTCTTCCTCACGATTGTGGATGACTACACCAGATACGGGTATGTCTACTCCCTCAGACACAAAAACAAAGTGTTCCAAAGGTTTAAGGAATTCCACAGAAGAGTAAATATGCAACATAACATGAGAATAAGGCAGATAATGACTGATAGGGGCTCAGAATTCATGGCCAAAGAATTCACAAGGTGGCTGAGGGAGCAGGGCATAGCGCATTACACCTCTTCACCTTTCTCCCCCTTTCAAAATGGAGTCTCAGAGAGAAAAAACGGGGTGTTGCAAACCATGATGAGATGCGCCCTGGAGGATGCTGGGATGGGGCAGCATTTCTGGTCAGAGGCATTACACTACGCTAATTACACCCTGAATAGACTGTGGTCAAGCTCTATCAATAAGACACCATACGAGATGCTATACAACAGAAAGCCCAACATTGCACACTTGCACATATTCGGCGCCCCAGCTGATGTCCACATTCCCAGACAGCTAAGAAGAAAAGGGGAGAAATTATCAAAAAGGTTAAGGTTCGTGGGTTACGAACCGGGCACAAAGGGCTACAGATTTGTCGACAACAATAACCGTTTTGTGGTTTCCAGATCAGCCAGTTTCCACGAAAACGCAAACTGGTCGAGGGTACACTCCAATGACATCCCAGCCAATAGGGTCACGTTCGAGCATGGCCAAGAGGAAAGGGAGGTCAGAGAGGTCACAGGGCACAAAGCCAACCACCGCAAGGCAAGCGTCAAAGGTTGGAAAGAAGGGCACCCTTCACTGAAGATAGATGACCTGACGGACAAAGAGGCAGACATCATGCAGGAAACCGAGCCAACCCCCAGCAGGCCAATCAGAGAAACCAGAAACAAGCTACCAAAGAAGTTAGAGGACTACGTTATGACCATCCACAACACCCATTTCACGCCCAGCTCATATGAAGACATCCTCGGGCTCCCCCGGGAGGAGAAAGAAAAATGGATACTTGCCATGGAGAAGGAGATGGAAAGCCTGAAGGACCTTCAGGTATACTCACCTGCCCAAGTTCCAGAGGACAAAAAACCAATAGGAACCAAATGGGTGTTCAGGGTTAAGACATTAGAGGACAACAAGGCCCTATACAAGGCAAGACTAGTCGCGCAGGGTTTCGCCCAAAGATACCCCGAAGACTATACGGACACCTACTCGCCAACCGTCAGGGCGGAGAACGTCAAAAGCGCCCTGGTGGTGGCCACCATCCTGGGCTTGGAGGTCTTCCAATTCGACGTACAAACAGCGTACTTGCACGCCGAGCTGGATAAAGAAATATACGTCAAAGCGCCGCCTGGGTACAACAAAGGCGAGAACCAAACCTGGCTGCTGAATAAAAGCCTGTATGGGCTCAAGCAGTCGGGCAAAAGGTGGTATGACTGCTTGGCCAAGGCCCTCAGATCCATGGGCTTCGAGGCCACCTCAGCTGACAAATG